TTTTTTTTTTTTTTTTTTTAATTTTTAGTATCAGGGATCGAACACCTGTCCTTGCACTTGAGAGGCAGGCGCCGGAACCACTAAGCTAAATCCCCAGCCCCTCTCCTGTGTGAATGCTGTCTGTAGCAACAGGCCAGAGCCCAGGACATTGGTGCACCTGCTCCAGGTGCCCGTGTGCCCAGGAGCCTACTGCCTGTGGGTGCGTATACGAAGGCCAGCAGGTTAAGCAACCACTGCCTCTAAACCTCAAAGTCACCCTACTGTACTCTTCCGTATGAAGCTAGGTCTGGAGGCTGATGAACATTTCCCGGACTCCTTAGCAAGACACTTCTTCTGGAGTTCTACCACTGGGAAGTACAGACTGGAAGGAGGGAGTAGGAAGAAGGGCCTTACTTCCAGGACCAGGAGCCAAGCACTTCCAGCTTCTTCCTCACTGCCAGCAAGCACGGACTGCTCAGCCCTCTGCAAACCACACTGACCCCTGAAGCACCAGCTGCATTGGTTCCCTCCCCACTGGTCAAGGCTCTGAGCCATCTGTGTGCTGAGGGGGCTGTGCCTCCCCTAAAAGACCAAGTACCTGAAAGGTACTTTGCCCAGCGGTCTGATCCATGCCAGTGTGCACACTCCCCCAGGCTCCTGCATTCTGGTTCTATCACCTCTCCCCTTGTTCCCTGTGATAGGTACTTCTTCCTATATTACACTTCTGGGCTACTTCAGGGGCCTCATTCCTCTCAATCTCCTCACACCCCCATGACCAATTCCCTACATTAAAACCCCTCCATTTGAAATACTGAGTGGTATGTACTTTCTAGACTGGATCCTGAATCGTGATCTCTTCCAGACCCTACACTCCCTGAAGGCAGGAATTTACTTCTGTATCCCTTGCCTAGTTCATACCAAGAGTTTAATAAAGACCTGGAATTAATTAGCCTTTTGTCCATATATGCATTATCAATAGTTGACACCAATCAGAAAATGCCGATCATAAGATTTTTACAACAAAGGTACCATTTGGAAATGCATATTATTTTTTTTCCCAGAGATTAAGCCCAGGGCCACCACATTGAGCTACACCCCCAAATCTTTTTTGAAACAGGGTCTTATTGAAGAGCCCAGGCTGGGCTTGAACTTGTGATCCTCCTGCATTAGCTCCCAGAGTGCTGGGATTAACTGAAATGCTTGCATCATGAAGTTAATTGAAATATTATATATAGAAAAATGCACAGTGGATAGCCTAATGAATTTTTACTCCCTTGTTTCAGGTTCTTAGCTCTTCTCTTCTCATCCCCTTGTATTTTTCTCTTTATGGGTTGCATTAAGATCCCTATGTTGTAGTCCTAATCCCTATTACTAAAAAGTGACTTTGCAGGCCAGGGATTTAGCTCAGTGGTTCTGGCCCCTGCCTTGCAAGCACAAGGACTCAAGTTCAATCCCCGGTACAAAAAAAAAAGTGACTTTGCTTGAAAATAGGGACTGTGCAGATTTAACCAAGTTAAGATGAGATCACTGGGGAAAGGGGACTTGTTCTAATGTCTATCCTCATAAAAATGCAAAATTTGGAGACAGGCATGTAGACAGGGAAAATGATGTGAAGATAGCCATGTAAAGATGGAACCAGTGACTGGAGTGCATATCTACAAGTCAACAAACTCCACAGACTGCCAAGAACTTCCAGAAGCTAGGAAAAGGTAAGGATTATCTCTTATCAGAGAGAACATGGCCCCACCAATAACTTGATCTGATTTCCAGTCTCCCTATCTGTAAATTTCTGTTAAGACCATCAAGTTTGTGGTTCTTTTTCCACATTTCTAAGAAACAAATATAAGCATTATCTAACATTATTTCTTTCACTTATTCCATCTGATCTTACTACTAACCTTTAGGCACTACTTGAGAAAAGATTTCCTTCTTTTTATTCTGCTTTATTCCCAGTATCCAAAACACTGGTGCAAAGTGTATGGCAAAGAACAAACAGGCAGGTGAACAAATATCAACTACAGTCCAAGGTAGACCCAGGTGTGTCAAAGTCAACATACATACAACGGGACAGAGGTGGGGCTGTTTTTACCTCCAAGTAAGAGAAAACAGGACACAGTAATTTGAACAAATAAGGATTTATTTTTTCACATAAAAACCCAGCAGTTAGCAGTCCGAGGTTTGGGCAGCACCCCAGCCATGTCATCAAGGACCCATCACACGCCAGTTCCAAGTGCTCACTTCAGCCCCCATGGTCACAGGTGGCTTCTGTACCCTCATGGATCCCCTTCATGTCCCAGGCAGGAAGATGGGTGAGCAAATGGCCACACCAGCTTCTTTACATGGAAATAAAACAATCTGAGACCTCCTTAACAGATTTCCTTCAGCATATCATTACCCATAGCATTTACATGTCCATTCTATCTGGGAGCAAGCTGGGGAGGTCAGCTGAAGACTTCGCCTTCCAGCCACCAAAAGATCAGAAGAGCAAGGGACAGCATTAGCAGTGGTTGCTTTGGGGGCCTCAGTGAGGAAAGATGAGTAATGTTGCTAAGACAACTGGTTAGAGACAGCAGGGAAAATGGAATCCCTACCTCACACCAAATATATACAAAAATGAATTTCAAGTAGATTAAATGCTAACTTTGGTGAGACTCTCTAAAAATACAAAAGGCCTGGCGATATAAGGCCCTGGAATCAATTCCCATATAATTAACTCACTCTCTCTTTCTCTCTCTTCCTCCCTCTTTCATACACACAGGTGCACAAACATAAATTCTTAGGAAAAACAATCCTTAAGAAAGATTAGTAAACAACACATGAATGTAGACGCTACATCAAATGCGATTGTTACAAAATAAAATGCAAAGCACACAGGAAGGTATCTCTGTAAAGCATATAACCAGAGGATTGCTATACAAGAAAACCGTACACCAGTAATAAAAAGAAAAAGAAGGCCAATTAAAGTACTATAGAAGAAATTACACAATAAATATCTTCAAATCGATTTGTGAAGAAACAGAAACTAAGGGCTGGGGATTTAGCTCAGTGGTTCCACTGCCTGCCTTGCAAATGCAAGACACTGAGTTCAATCCTCGTTGGGGGGGGGCACGAGGGGGGCGGGGAGTGACAGGCGACAGAAACTAAAACTTTTGCACCCATCTGACTGTCAAAAATTGAAAACTCTGACATCAAATGCTTAGTAGGCAGAGGGGAATCTCAGCAGCCATCCACCACAGTGGGAAGAAAAGAACATAAGCTACTTTGGATAACGATGGTGGCCCCAGCTAGTAAAACTGAAAATGTACACAAGTTACAACCCAGCAATTCTACATCTGCAAGTGTAGATATGTTCAAGAACATTTGTAGCACACAGCAATATCTAAGAGCTAAAACCTGGAAACACCTAAATGACCACGGGTAGAAGAACAGAGAAACTGTAGTCTATTCATACCACACAGTATGACAACGAAGACGCATCCCAAGCTACATGTCAGCCAAAGTGTCACCAGCAATGTTGGGCTTTGTAAATTGAATACATTCATATACCACTGAAAAGTTTTTAAAAATGCAAAACGACACAATGTACAGAAGTGATACATAACTTCATTTAACATTTTTAAGAATCAGAAAAGTTCAGTAGTGATCACCTCTAGAGAGAAGGGAAAGAAGGATCTAGGTGTGTTTGCAATCTTATTCTCAAACTGAACAGTAGGTACATGGATATACATTTGTATTTAACTTTTGTATAATCAATAACTCCATTTTTTAAAGCAAATGGCAAAAACCTAATTATGGCATTACACCCTCATGAGTGTGTGAAAATGAAAATGTGTCAAAACCTTCTAGGGAAGAACTCTACGTGTGAAGTTTGCAACAATCGACTTTTTCCCAGATGCAAACACACCATGTTCCAGTGGAAAGTTAAGCCCACCCCGACAGGGAAGCTGAGCTGCAAGATAACTTTCACATCTGCTCTCCACTCAGCAAACACTTGCTAGAGTCCCAGCCTGGATACTAATTAAAACCACCAGAAGGCCTCTTAACACTGCTCTTGTTCTGCTCCACATCTTCCTAGGCCAAACCTGGAGAACGCAGGGGGCTCTTAGTTCTCCAAGTGGCTCTAACATGTAGCAAACATTGAGAACCACACAGTACCAACTTGCCTGATAATTCAGGAATTTAGGAAGGGCTGAGCTAGAATAAAACAATTAAAGTTCAGGCAATGATGACATGGTTGCACCAGCCATGAAGTTCCAGACTGCAGGTCTCACTTCTGCACATCACCACGGGCACATCCACTTTGGCACATCAGTGTGGACATGTCTCCCACCTGAACTAATACACTTCCAGGGTTGTTTGGTGAAATTAATTAATAAATGTCATCTGACTGGAAGAATGGCATACAGGAAGCACTTAATGTTTGCTTTTTTAAAGTAAAGAAGCTATTCTGAGAAGTGTCTAATAAAATATTTCAATACAAAGCATCATAAGTACTCTTCAGTCTTTCTGGGAAGGCTCCCAAATTTGTGAAGGAAACAGAGCAAAACCTTGTGTCACTGTGAGCAATATGTGGTATCTATCCCGTGGAAAGGCATTTTGTACTCGAACAGGAGGCAGCAAGGAGGACACAGACAGCTAATAGATCAGTGAAGAGCTCTGGAGTGTGACTGTGAAAATTAAGGGGAAAATAAATTCTTACTCTCTTCATTAACTTCCATACTATCTGTATTTATTGCAGTAAGAATCTATTTGACAATACTAACTATAAAAAGCCAAGCAAGGTTTGCTTTGGCTTGGAAGATAGGAGACCCAACCATTACTACACCACAAGTGGGAAGATGATGAAGTCAGTGACTTGGAAGGCCCCCAAGGAGGGACAGAGTTGGGGTCATGGTCAGACTGGAAGGGGGCACACTGCTCCACAGTCACTGACTTGGGGAAAGACAACTGTGGAAGCTGTTGGATGATGATGCTCTCCCTTCAGAGGATGGTTCTCTTCCATTCCCTGTATCCCTTTTGTCTCCTCAAAGCACCCAAAGGAAATGCCAGCACCGAACCCAACCTGTACTCCTGATTCCACATGTCCTTCCAGATGGACTTAAAACTTTTTTTTTGTACTGGGGATTGAACTCAGGGCCTTGTGCCTGCAAGGCAGGCACAGAAACACTGAGCTAAATCCCCAGCCCTAAACGCTTTGTTTTTGGTACCAGGGAACGAACTCAGGACCTTGCATTTGGGAGGCAGGCAGCAGCACTACTGAGCTGAATCCCTGGCCCTCATATGTCCCTTCCAGATACTGCCAGTCTCCTAGAATTCCTCGTCACTCCTCTGCACCCTGCCCCACCCTAGCCCTGGAAGCTTGGGCTGTGGTCACACCCTCTGCACAGTACCCCATCCTTCCCCACTCTTTCCTTTTTTTTTTTTTTTGTACTGGAGATCGAATTCCGGACTTTGTGCTTGTGAGACAGGCAGCAGAACCACTGAGCTAAATCCCCAGCCCCCATCCTGTGGTCTAGACAAGAGGCCCAGAGCACATAGAAGATTGCACAGGGTCCTATCCCCACCACCACCACTTGTTGGGTGACAGTGGGAAAGTTTTGCTTCACCGTAATGTTTCTCTAGCTGGGAAACAGGGCAACCACAATCCCTCCCAGCCAGTGTTCTGCTGAGGACCAGAGGGGATGACGCGGGAAGCTGTAAAGCAGTGGCTGGCTGGAAGTTATCAAAAGAAAAAGAAAAGCTCCTTAGGACAGTCACATGACTAAGGTTGGCTATTTCACTTTATTTAGCAAACAGTCTCACTCTAGGCCCCACCAAACTGCTCCTCCATCTTTGCCTGAGGTCTGCTCTGGGAAGAAGCTCAGGAAACAGGAAGCCCCAGGTCCCCAATGTGGGCCTTATTTGTCACCACACACATCACACATCTTAGAACAAAACCACTGCTCTGGGTCCTTAGGAGCCACCCCATTGAGGTTTAGGGGGCCCTCCAGTGTTCAACCACCATGTCCAGGGCCTCAGCCCCAGGTACAGACCCTGTTCCCTTCAGATGCCACCCAGGGCAGGGCTGAGAGCCTCCATCTCCAGCTGTGGAGATGCTGAACCCTGACCCTGGCCCTGCCATCTGTCCATGCTGGGCAAGAAGCAAAATGTATGAAAATACTTTAATCATTTCTTTGAAACGGTTAAGAAATAAGATCGTCTTGTTTTTCTTTTACGATCCCAGTAAAAAAAAAAAGTTCAGATTAGCGCCTGGGCCCAAAGTCAGGCTCTTCCCAACCAAGTTGGCCTCTCAGTAGAAACGCTTGTTCCGCTCCTGGCGCTTCTGAAACACCACAGCACCCACCACGGCACAGACAATGATGCCTAGGAGTGCACACAGCAGCAGCAGGAACACCCTCCACCCTGTTAGGGGACCGCTGCGGAAGTTCCCCGTGGGGTCATCCACGTTGTCTGAGGGAGAAGAAAAGGCGAGATGAATGGGCAAAGTTGGGGGGCCACCTCCAGGTAATGTGGCTAACAGGACTGCACCAGCCACAGTCCGAGAATTAGGGATACTGTCTCAGGGGCCACCACGTTCATCCTACATGTGGGACGGTGCTGGCTGCAGTGTGGTGTCTTGTGGCCACACGCTGGCCAGGAGCAGAGACTGCACTGACCTGATCACAGCTGAGCTCTCAAGTCCATAATATGGGTAGGGCAGGAGTGGAAAGAGGACCAATCCCACAGAGACCAAGGTCCCAGGAATCTAGGCCTGGGCTGCATTCTGCTACAAGGCACTGGTTAAAACTAGAGATTCCTAGGTTCCTTCAGAGATCCTGGTTCTGTACAGGGAGAGGCCCAGGGGTCTGATTCAACAAATCTGTAGAAACACATCCCTTACCAAAGACTGCTCTCATTCACAGATGGAGGATGTTGGTAGCTTCCAGCCTCCTGGGCTACCTTCCATGCCCTGAGCCCGATACCCCCTGCCTACCCTCTCCTGCTCTGGCCACACCACTCCCTTGTCCCCCAACTGTCAACAGACCCTGCTGGGTCCTAAGCCCTGACATGTATGGTGAATTGCATAGATCCTGACCGCTCTGGGATGTGGCATCCTTATGACTTTCCTGGAAAGCCTGCGAGAAGGAAATGACCAGGCCATGAATAGATGAGGTGGGAGCTGGACTGAGCTTGTTTCAACTACTCAGCCTCCTCCCAAGTGCAATCCTCTGCTCCACATGAGGACTCACCACAGCTGACCCATCCTAAGCTCTTGGCCTATAGGAACTCAGGCAGGGCCAGCCAGCACCATCTCCCCAGGGCAGGGTTGATCCAAGAGCCCAGACCACAGCCATAACTGGATCAGGAAGGGCAAAAAGACCACGGTGCATCCGTGAGGCTTGGGCAGTGGGAGACCACATTCATATGTACCTTTGGGAGACTTGAAGAAGTTGACACCGGGCTCAATCTTGGTCCAGTCAATGTTTTCCTCATCAGGAGTATGCTCTACCATGAGCTGGAACAGCTTGATGGAGATGATGTCATGATTATCTATGGGACCAAGAATGCACCTGTAATGGCCTACAGCCAGCCTGAGGGCTATGGCCCAAGGCCTTCTCCAAAGAGAAGTACTGGCCTGGCCATGGAGAGCTACTTCTGCCCATTGCTGTCCTCTTCTTCCCTGCTATCTCCAGCCCCTAGGAAGACAGTATTCTAGGAAATATGGGAGGGATGGGGATGTACACACACACGCACGCACGCACGCACATACAAACACAGAGAAAATAAGAGAAACCAGGCATGGTGGCACATGCTTGTAGTCCCAGCACTCTCAGGAGGCTGAGGCAGGAGGACTGCAGTAAGTTCAAGGCCAGCCTGAACTACATAACAAGACTTTGTATCAAAAAACCAAAAAAAAAAGAAAAGAAAAGAGAAACTTAGAAGGAAGTGAGAGTGACAAGAAGAGAGCATGAGCTGTATGTTCAAAATCATCTGAGTGGAGGCCTCTCTCGAGGGAGGCCTAATGGCCAGGGCCCTCCTTCTGCCTGCAATTCTTTGTTGCCTGAATCCTGCCACGTACAGGATGTTATTTGTTCTCTTTAAAAATGTAGTTCTCAGGGCCAGGGATTTAATTCTGGCACTGTGTTTGCCTGGCAGGTACAAGATCCTGAGTTTGATCCCCAGTACCAAAAAAAAAAAAGCACACCTATGATCCCAGCACTCAGGAGACCGAGGCAGAAGGATCACAGTGAATTCCAGACCAGCTGTTCTACATAGTAAGCTCAAGGCCATCCTGAACTACATTGTGAGGCCCTGTCTCAAACAAACAACAACTCAAGGGACAGAGATTTAGCTCAGTGGTTCTGCCCCTGCTTTGCAAGCACAAGGATCTGAGTTCGATCCCTGCTACCAAAAAAAAAAAAAATCATCTGAGTGTAGCCGGGCATGGTAGTGCATGCCTGTAATCCCAGCACTTGGGAGGCGGAGGCAGGACGATCACTGTGAGTTCGAGACCAGCCTGGGTTACATAGTGAGTTCCAAGTCAGTCTCAACTACACAGCGAGACCCTGTCTTAAAAAAAACAAAAATAAATAAATAAATAAATAATCATCTGAGTGTAAATCTCATGTCTATTGCCCTCTTTGAGGCTCAGTTTCTTTATCTGTAAAACGGGAGTGATATGATAACCTTCCTCTAGGGTGGTCACCATGGCAAGCTAATGAGAACACATACAGAACATGAAAGATATACTGCTACCAGAGGCTAAGTACTTAAAAGAGACCAAGTAAGGGCTGCCTGAGAAGCCTGATCCTCCGGAGGGGCAGGCAGCTGCTAGATGCTCCTGTCGACAGATCCATGTGTAGGCGGCAGATAAACAAGTCAGCATCCAGCTAAGGACAGACCCCAAGACACAGTTACTATATCAAGGAGATTTGGAAAAGGTATAGTCCAAAGAGCACGAGCAGGAAAGAACCTCTGCTTGACACTAACAGTTCATCCTATTTAAGTGTTGAGTTTTCCTGGCTAGCCTGACTAGCTATAAGCTTAATGAACCAACTGGAATCTGGGGAAAGGTCTTGTTTAAAGAGGAGACCAGAACAGGGGCCTTATCAGACCATTCTCTCCTCTCTGGAGTATATAATTGCAAGTTCCCTACTAAGGTTTGCATAGTAGTACATGCCTGTAATCCCAGTACTCTGTGAGGCTAAGGCAAGAGCATTGTAAGTTCAAGCCTAGGCTGGGTAACTTAGCAAGACCTTTTCAGAGGGAGAGCGAAAGAAAAGAGGGAGGAAGGGAAGGAAGTGAGGGAGAGGGAAGGGGAAAAGGAAAGAAAGAAAGAAAGAAAGAAAGAAAGAAAGAAAGCAAGCAAGCAAGCAAGCAAGCAAGAAAGGGCAAGAGATGTAGCTCAGTATGAAGGTGCTGGTTCAATCCTCAGTACTGGCCCCCTGCCTAAGTTCCCTATCAAACGTTAAAACCACCAAATTTCTGGGATTAAGTGGATATATGCACTTCCCTGGAGAGAAGGGAGGCCACTGGATGTGACCAGTGTTATAGGTCCTGAATACCTGCGGATAAGTCCTTTGTTGAGTCAAATACATGCCCTCCCAGTTCTACTTAGGAGCTGGCCCTGGGCCTGGTGCCTTCCAGATGTCCTTGGTAGAAGAGCGAAGGTCACAGACAAGGGCCACAAACTGTCACGTAGGCCTGGTGACCCAGCATGGCCTGTATAGGCCAGAGGCATGTTGATGTCACCTGAGTATCTACTGTGGACCAAATGAGAAAGATCCTTGACTTTGTGGAGATTACAATTTAGATGGTAAGTAGAAAAAAACCCACAGAAGATAAAATACATTTTACACTGGAAAGAAAATAAAGACACATGCTATAAAGAAAAGAAAAATAGACAGGAAAGGTGATGGAAAGTATGCTGGGGACTGGAGGAGAGAGCACAATTTTAAATGCGGGAATCAGGGAGGCTCCGCTGTGGAGGTGATACTTGAGAAATACCTAGGTGGAGGCCACTATAAGCAGGGAAGAAGTGAGCCCTAAGTGAGGTGTGATGAAGTACAGTGAGGGGCCTCAGAGTGAGATCGCAGCCATTGCCATGCTGAGCAGTGGGGGCGACCTCTTGTAGGCTCAATGTGATTACTCTGGCTGCTGCGCCAGGGAGAGAATAACAGGGACCAGTGTAAAAGGGGGATCGCTCAGGAGGGTCCAGTAAGAGATGATAGTGGCTTGAACCCTCCAAGTAGTAAGAGAATGGAGACATTGAGCAGGCCACTACATACCAGGTCTGGAGATAGAATCTAGACACCTAGTATCTAGATTCAGCCTCTAATTTCCTAAAGATAAAGAAGGATTGTCAATGAATTGCTCAAGCTCTGGGCCTACCTACAATTACAGACAATGGTAAGAGAAGAAAGAGAGTATGAAAACCAAAGGAAGAAAGGCAACTAACTATGTCAGAAGCTTCTAAGAAAAAACTCAGGCTGGGGGTGAATTCATCAATCAGCCCAAACACTCACCAGACAGGTCGCCAGTACCAGCCGAGGCTCCAAAGTAGTAGCCGGTGGGCAGGCGCACTCCTACAATGTCAATGCAATTCTTCCACTCGTTCTTGTCCTCCAAGTCAGTCATCACCTGTGGCCAGCCAACAAGTCAGGCACACCTGCAGGCCTGAGCCAGCCGCCTCCCTGAACCTCTGCAGAACCAGCATGGGCTCATCTCGTCTCCTCCCTCACACCTGCTCACCGTCAGGCGGCCCCGGGAGTAGCGCACAGCCAGGAAGGTATCGTGGTCCCGGTTGCGGAAATCAGCCGTGCAACCTGCCAGCTCAGTCCAGCGTCCATCCTTGCTGTGGTCGTAGGACAGGGAGCCATTGTTCACCATCACCGAGATGTACGGGAACACACGCTGGGACCAAGACACTGGTTATTCCACAACTGGCCCAGCACGTGGGAGGAAGGTGGGTGCCCACCACCCCAGTCCCTAGAGACTCCTTTTGTGCCAGGACCAGGAAGAAGACCCAGTCCCCAACATCTAGCCAACTGCCCAGTCCTTGCTTTCCTGGTCCACAGGAGAGAACAGGGCCCTACCTCAGTGGTCTCATCATTGGGATATGTGTCCAGGAAGATGGCTAAGCCATGGAAGTTATCTTTGCTTCCAAACACAGGCCCTGGAATTAGAAGGAAGTAGTCTTACAATGGAAAAACTAGAAATGTCTTATAGCTCAAAAGCAATGTATGCATGTGCTAGAGATCATTTACCCAGGAGAGAAGGAAAACTCCAAAGGAGAAAGCTGAGGTAGGTTCAGAAAGGGTGTTGAGGTGCAGCAAGCCTGACCTGAGCAAACAGCCACATGGCCATGTGCTCTGAGGCCAGTGTCAAGGGTCAAGGGGGTACCTGGTCTACAGACAGAACCACAGGAAGGACTCCTTAAACCAGGGGCAGCAAACTTTCTCCCCACTCCATTAAGTTTATTGATACATTTAAAGCAAACAATACAGTTACATTATCATTGGGATCTTGTACCTTTACATGCTATGTCTTGGTTCTTTTCCCCATACCCCTGCCTTCCCTTCACCCCCAAAGTTTCTGTAAAATGTCACAGAGGAAACATTTTTGGCTTTGTAGGCTATGTACAGTCTGTCAAATAGTCCTCATGTTTTACTCTCTAAAGAAAAATATAATAATAATAACCCTAGCAGGGCCTGGTGGTACACACCTGTAATCCCAGGAGGAAAGAGGATCACAAGTTCAGGCCCAACCCAGGGAACTTAGGGAGATCCTAGCTCAAAATAAAAACTAAACAAAGGGTTAGGGATGTAGCTTAATGCAGCGACCTTGATTCAATCTCCAGCACTGAAGTAACAAGAGACACCTCAAAATGACAGAATGGGCCAGATCAGGCAACATGGGGGAACTGTTAAGCTAGGAGCTCTAGCTGCCTTCCTTTCCTAAGAGGCCCTCCTTCCAGAGCCAAAATGTTTCCCAAAGTGCAGAGTTTTATCTATGAGCAAGCAGCAGCAGGAAGGTCTCTTAACAGGATGGTGCAGAGTGGAAGATTTTCGACCACAGAAGCAGAGGAAAACCCCCTTGCTCTGCCTGCTCCCACCTCCCTGGTGGACTGGCAGCCATTCTCTGGGGGCTCAGTAGCACCTATCTGAGCAAGCAATGCCCTACCTGGCACAAGGCGGTCCCGGGTGTACCACAAGGCGATGCCATCTCCATGAAGATTCTTCTTTCCTGTGCCGTGGACTTTGAAGTGGACATGCATCTCCCAGTCCTTAAGGAAGCAAGGCTGGAGGGGTAGAGAGGGCTGCTCAGAGCTTCCCAGCCTTTAAACAAACGGGGTGATCCTGGCACAGACTCTGCCCAAACACCTATTTTCCCAACCCCAGGAAGACAATGCAACCACTCCTTGCCCCAGGGCCAGGCAGCAAGGTCATAAGCACTGCTGACCCCAATCCCCAAATGAGAAGAGAAAAACCACACAATGTCCCAAGGCTGCCTGAGCCCAAGCCTCTGCCAACCCAGGCCTGCTCTTATATTCTGAACGGTCAGCCAAATCCTTAGCCATCTCCATCCCCCAATGCTCCTACACTGGGATCCTGCAGAAGGGTCATAATTTTTAGACAAAATAATTTGTCCACAGAAGATGAGAGCATGATCTTGATTCTTACCCAGGTCTATCCAATTCCAAAACTTTTAAGAGCTTTCAATGATACAAACAGCCAGCTGCGGCAGTGTGCCATAGGTTCACCACCACTATTTTAGGCTTTCCAAGAACTTCGGGCCTTTAATATAAATTGTACCAACTCTTTTCTACACACTCCACCTCCACCTTCTCTTATAACCAACCTCTCAAAGTAAGGAAAATCAGGCTGAGGCAGTTCTACCAGATTAAAACCCAGGTCTGGCTGAATGCAAGGCCCGACTCTTGTCCAGAACACCTCCTACAAATGCAGTTCAGCCCCCCATAATAGGAGCTCTTCAGAGTGGTGCTCCCAGGCCTCTGGCCACTCTGTGAGAGAAGCAGATACTTCTTGGTAGCCACAGTCACCTACAACAAAGTAAACACCCTAACCCAACACAAACTTTGACAAGAGTCCATTTTAGGGAAGTCAACAAATGGACATGTGAACAAGTGATTAAAGACCCATCAGAAAGGTAAACTAAAACAAGATATTGTTGATCTATCATATTGGCAGCTATTAAAAAGATCGTTAGCTGGGTGTGTTAGCACACTCCTGTAATCCCAGCACTCAGGAGGCTGAGGCAGGAGGATAGCTATGAGTTCGAGACCAGCCTGGGCTACATAGTGAGTTCCAGGTCAGTCTCAACTACATAGTGAGACCCTGTCTCAAAAAACTAAAACAAATAAAAAATAAAAGGATAGTTAATACTGAATACAAATGAGGACACAAAGAAACAAGCAGTTTCAAACAACTCGTGAGACTATAAATGATCCTATCTTCCTGAGGGAAATTTCACTGCATCTTTTCAACAGAATAAAGCAGATCCTAAAAATATTTACATCTAAAGATATCAAAGATACTAAGAAGATAAGTTTTAAATAATATCAGTGCTATCATCCCATTTTGGGGGGTAATTAAGAAAAAACAAAACATGAATGGATATTGTTAGGTCATTATGAGGAGAATATTTACTTTCTATGTCTGGATACTATATAATGAATATGTTACTTCTGTTACCAGGAAAAACTCATATTAAAAATAGATATGGGCCAGGGATTTAGCTCAGTACTTCTGCCACCTGCCTCTCAAGCACAAGGACCCGAGTTCAAACAGCGCTAAAAAAAAAAAAAAAAAAAAAAAAAAAAAAAAAAAAAAAAAAGAATACATCTGGGCCAAGGATTTAGCTCAGTGGTACCACTGCCTGCCTCGCAAGCATAAGGTCCTGAGTTCCATCCGCAGTACAAAAACAAGATGTATCAAGGGCCCAGTATTTATATCAGTGGCACAATGCTTGCTTCACAAGCTCAAGTTCCTGAGTTCAATCCCCAGTACCAGGAAAAAGAGAAAAGAGAAAAACGGATGTACCAATGTGGGCAAATTGGTTCATGCCCTCAGATTCACCAGTTTCACTATTCATCTCTGGGTACTGAACACCCAGAAGATGGGACCCAGGCGGGTCCCTGAGAACACGGAGCTAGCAAGGATCTGAATGACAGGTTGCAAATAGTGCAAAACTTCAGAGTCTTCCCAATTCTGGGAACATTCACAGAGTCTGCTGAGAGCAACTAAGAGGTGATGAGAACCAGCTCTCAAGGACAGGACAAGGAAACTGCGTGCAATGCCTACTGAGGATTATCGAGGGCTTGTTTTGGGCCAGATCTGCACAAAGATTTTAACCCAGAAGTAAGAGTGCACTAGGTAGAAAAGGCTCTCCCAGGGACTCAGGACAGTTTTGAGACCTTGACCTTCCTGAAATTAGACTTAGGTAACTCATCCAGGACTCAAGTTTTTCTACAAATAATTGTACAAATGGAGTACCTCACCATCATAAATAACCAGGCAGACAAAGAGAAAAGGTATGAATAAAATGAAAAGAAAAAAAGCCAACAGGAATTCCAGGTAACGGACTTTCAAATATGTTCAAGGAGACAAAAATCAAGATTTAGAATTCAGGAAGATAACTAAAGTTTTAAAAACTCACACTAAACGTATACTAGAACTAAATACAGTAACATAATGGACAAATTTAATAACCAACTAAAAACAGTAGAAGCCAGGTGTGGAGGTACACGCCTATAATCCCAGCTACTCAGAAAAGTGAAGCAGGGGGCCAGGGACTGAGCTCAGTGGTTCCACTGCTGGCTCACAATCATCCGCTGCTGGCTCACAATCACAGGGTCCCAAGTTCGATCCCCAGTACAGAAAAAAAAAAGGTGAAGCAGGAAGATCACAAATTAGGCAGCAAGACCTTGTCCAAAAAAAAAAAAAAGCAAGCAAGCAAGCAAGCTAGCCTGCCATCTAGAGATGCAGTCTAAGGCCTATGTAGTTGGAGTTCCAGAATGAGATATAAGAGAATGGCACAAAGGAAAAGAGATATCTAAACACTTAGTAAAACTGCTCCAAAGACATCAAGTCACAAACTTTAAAAAGTTCTATAAGGGTGCTTCTGTAGTATGAGACAAAAAATGAAAATAATTCATTACCAACAGATTCATACTGTCTTTCATTCTTCAATGGAAAAGGAAAATGATACAGATCCAAATGTAAAATCAGAGTTGAGGGAGGAATAAAGAACATGAATACAAATGTAACTGTACTGTATACTTTAAAAGTACCAATAAACTCAGTAAGATAAAAAAAAACCACAAATACAATAAATAAGAGGGTAAACATCAGTATAAATATTTGACTAGGTAAAACAATGTTTTGGGTAATTTTTTTGTTGTTGTTGTTTCTGGTACTGGGAATCAAACTCAGGACCTTGAGTGTGCAAGGCAGGTGTGGTACCACTGTGCTAAATCCCCAGTCCATGTTGGGTAGTTTAAAACAGAGGGATTAAAATACATGCAGCAACAGGGTAAATGGAGTTAAAGTGTCCTAAGATCCTTGCATCGTCCAGAAAGAAAAAGTACACATTATCCTTAAGATAGTAAAACATGATGGATATTTTAAATTCTAGGGTAACCACTAAAAAAACTGAGAAAAGAACATATAACTTTCAATCTGATAGAAGAGGAAAAACTAAAAATTAATCCAAACAGTCAAGACCACAGAGAAAACAGGTGATACAGATAGAAAGTAAAACAAGAACGCCTAAAGGAATGGAGCTGGCCAACCACAGACTGAGAGCTCTGAGACCCTGAGCCAAAGTAAACCTTTTTTTCCATTAAATTGACTTTCTCAGGTATTTTGCCACAGTAACAGGAAGATGATTGATATAAATGCATACTTTATGGTAAATTTTGTATAATGTACATTTTACCACGATAAAAAAATTGAGAATTTAATTTTGTTCATGTAAAAATATAAGCACAACAGTCAAAATTAGTATTTGTAAGCTGGGCGTGGTGGCGCATGCTATAATCCCAGCACTCAGGAGGCTGAGGCAGGAGGATCACTGTGAGTTTGAGAACAGCCTGGGCTACATAGTGAGTTCCAGGTCAGTCTCAACTTCATAGTGAGACCCTGTCTCAAAAAAATCAAAAAAACAAAACAAACAAACAAAAAAAATTAGTATTTGTAGGTATCCATTACATTTTTAAAATTCCATTGTTTCAATGTCAATGTGTATTATACTGAAGAGAATGGTTTTATAAATTGATTTAAAGGTTAAAAAGTTTAAAATAGGGCCAGGGATGTAGCTTAGTGGTGCTGCGCCTGCCTGACAAGTGCAAGGTCCTGAGTCTCACAATAAAAATAAATAACCCCCTCAGAGCCTCATGTTTCCCTATTCACAAGAGACATTTCTAACACATAACAAAATGAAAGACAAAGCACAAGGCCAGAAAAATATATTATTCAAACACTAACTAAAAGCAAACTTGTGTAGCTATACCAAATTTTGTATGTACTGAATTTAGCCTAATATATACATAACAGAAACTGACAACTACAAATAGGCAAAACTACATACAAGAACTTTAACATACAGTACTTCCCTTAGTAATTGATAAAAATGAACAGACAAAGCCGGGTGTGTTGGTGCATGCCTGTAATCCCAGCACTTGGGAGGCTGAGGCAGGAGGATCATTGTGAGTTTGAAACTAGCTTGGGCTACATAGCGAGTTCCAGGTTTCCAGCTCAGTCTCAACTAGTGAGACTCTGTCTCAAACAAAAGCAAACAAACAAAAAACAAAACAAAAACAATGAACAGACAAAAATATCCACAAGAATGTACAAGATTTGAATTCAATCAGTAAATTTGACCTAAAGGATCTAAACGGCACACAAGTCTACAAATAGAGAAATTCACATTCTTTGCACATTCCAAAGTCTGACCACTAGAGGATCCATTCTTGTCTTAACAGACATTCAAGAGACTGAAACCCTTAACCAGATGTAATTAAACTAGATATTGATAGTTTAAAAATTTTAAAGTATACAAAAGTCAGCTCAGAAACCACACTTCAGATGGTTTGTGTCCAGTTTTCTGTACTTTGGAACAAAGTATGCTGGTTTAGGTGTGCGTTGGAGTGAAAGGGCAAGCAAAAGGGAAAAGGCAGGGAGGGGAGAAGACTACACTTCCATCTTAGTCATGTCCATAGGGAGGTCAGCTTCAGGAAAGGACACATATGGAAGTGGAGGACCTGCAAACTGATTCCTACAAGTCTATTCGGGGCTTAGAACACATCAATGTACCCAGACCAAAGAATGCATATGTGCACATAGGCACACTATGACGCAGATAAAGCTCTGAAAGACCTGAAGTAGGTGAGATATGTATTAGAATTGATTTGAGAAAGTGCTTTGCAGGACACAGTTTTCAACCCTGGCTGCACAACAGCCTCAACAGGAGAGCTCAGAAATCTTACTGCCTTGGATCAGCCACACCAGGCAAAGAAAATCAGAAATCACCTGGCAAGACCAGATCAGTTTTTTTTTTACAGTCAGGCAATTTCCACATCTTTGCTTGTAACAAGATGGAAGGCAGCTTCACTCTAACAGCTGATAAATCACTAACAGTTCTGATGAAAGATCACTACATGATTTGCAGTTATAAGCCAAAAGAAATTCAAAATACTGAATGACCCTCTTAATTCCCAAACTCCATCTCTACTATTGAAGTGAATTAGTATCTCAGAATTCACATATACAGGGCCAGGGATTTAGCTCAGTGGCACTGTGCCTGCCTCACAAGTGCAAGGGCCTGAGTTCAATTCCCGGTACTGAAGGAAAAAAAAAAATCACATATCTAAAAACAAAAAGCAGGGGCCGGGAATTTAGTTCAGTGGTGCCATGCCTACCTCGCAAGCGCAAGTTCCAGAGTTTGATCCCTGGTACCAACCCCCCCCCCAAAAAAAACCCCAAAAAGCAGAAGTGGCAGAAGTGGCACTGATATCTGATAGTAATATCCACCCAGATGTTAGGGGAAATAACATCTCCCTTAATTTCAATAAATTTTTACTATCATGTAACGCAGCTAGGCATGGTGGTGTGTGCCTGTAGTTCCAGCTACTTGGCAGGCCTTCAAGTTTATCTTCAAAAAAAAAAATGTTGTGTAATACATTTATTTTGATAAATTGTATACTGACAATTATGATCTCAAAAAAAAAAAAAAAAAAAAAGTAAGTTTGAGCCAGGTGTGGTGGCACACACCCACAATCTCGCACTTGGGAAGCTGAGGCAGGAGGACTGCAGCCAACCTCAGCTGCATAGTGAGTTCAAGACCAGCCTGAACTACCTAAAAAGACCCTGTCTCAAAACAAACAAACAAAAAAAGTTAGTGTGAAGGTCTCAACAAAGTTTAAAAGTTTAAACACTTTTTTGGGGGGTGGTACCAGGGATCAAACTTGGGACCTTGCTGTAACACTTATTTAAAGTTGCAGAGCATTATGATAGAACAATGAGCAAGAGATTTTCAAGCACTAAATATAAGAACATAAAATTCTGTGTGGGAAACGAAAATGAAAAATTTTTTAAAAGATGATACACAATTTGAGTGTACTGTTTTAAAAAACTGGATACCCATTAGCAATATTTACACTGAATATTTAATACTGAAAAGCTGTTTTAAAATGTCAGCATTTAAAATATGCTAGAAACTATATCCTTTGCAATTAAAAAAAAAATCCCACTGTTGGGGATCAAACCCAGGGTCTCTACAAAAGTGCTCTACCACTGAGCGACACTGCTACACCTCTTATCTCTTCATAAATTTTTGTTTGTTTTTATTTTTTATGACAGGGTCTTGCTGTGTAGTTCAGTCTGGCCTGGAACTCACTATGCAGCCCAGGCTGGTCTTGAACTTACAGCGATCCTCCTACTTAGCCTCCTGAGTTCTGAGATCACAGGTGTGCACTAACATACCCCACTAAATGTCTAAGATGATTTTTGGGGGCGGTACTGGGAATGGAACTCAGGACTTTGTTCTTGCAAGGCAGACAAAGGAACCACTGAGCTAAATCTCCAGACCTAAGATAATATTTTATATTAACTTTTATAAGGCACAAAGAGAAACAATCTTGGATTGGAACATTACTTTATAAAAAATATCTTAAAAACCAATGCTGAAGGCTCCATATAAGACACTCTCAGGATGAGTTGTGAGCAGCCACTCTCTAGGTCCTGTGCTCCAGTTATTAGACACCAGGAGCTGTAGTCACTTTTGGGCTACATAACAGTTCAGAAGACAGCAGAGCTCAGGGAGTCTTTGCTAATTTGGTGTCTCTCCCAGATGAAGTGAATGGAGACAAAAAAGAAAAGTGCAGAAAGCATCTCTTCAGCTCAGTGAAGAGAGGTAGCTCTTGGGAAACACTGAATAGAAAACACTTATGAGTTCCAAGCAACTTCATTGAAGAAGTATACGAGGAACTCCAAATATTTATGAGGGCCTGGGATTTAGCTCAGTGGTTCTGCCGCCTACCTCACAAATATTTATGGAGTATCAGCAGGGTCCCATTGGAAAGATCTTTGAAGCTGAATAGGGACAGTGGGGAAAAAGGTATAATTATATTTTAGACAGAAAATTTGATAAGAGTAGAGCTGGGTATGGTTGCACATGCCTATAATTCCAGCACTCAGGAGGCTAAGGCAGGAGGAGCGCTGTGAGTTTGAGACCAGCCTGGGCTACATGGTGAGTTCCAGGTCAGTCTCAACTATATAGCGAGACCCTGTCTCAAAAAACAAAAAACAAACAAAAGAAAAATTGTTAAGAGCAAGTACAGAATGCTCTCGTGCTTGTGACATCTCCAAGCCACTGAAAATACCAACCACTACCTACCTATAATCATAATTTAAATTAACATCTTGGGTATAAAGTATTCCTTGTAACAAAATCCAATTTGTAACTGTTCTAATACTATTTGTGCCTTGCTTTTTTAAAAACTCTATACTGAACTCATTTCTATGAAAAATACAGGGGTATATTATTAGGTTTTAAAATTAGTGAGGCTAGCAGTTGAGTAGAGTACTGGCCTAGCATGTAAAAGGCCATGAGCCTGACTCTGGGGGTGAGGAGGGCCCAAAAACAGAATAATGAGATAGAATGTGATTAGAGGAAGAAAGGTACTTAATGAAAGACTCATTGAGTGGGTGGCATTTGAACTAAGGCTTAACAGAAGGAACCAAGTAGGCATGAAGAACCAGGAGGCAATGTCCCAGACAGTGGGGACAACAAGTGCAAAGGTCCTGAGGCAAGAAGGCAGTCAGAGAGGCTGGAACAAAATTAACAGAATGACTAGAGATGCCAGGCACTAGGGGCCAGATTGTACAGACATAAGGTGCAATTACCCTTCACAGGAGACCCCAGGCTCTGAAGATCAGAGCAAGAGCTGAAGAACGTACAGATGCCTCTAACAGCAGTGTGGTAGCACGAGACAGGAAGAGAGATGAGGCAACACAAGGACAGTGTGGGCTCCCACAACAAAATGAGAAAGTCAACCAGAAGGGACAAGAGAGCAGAGTGATGGAGAAAACCAGGACACGTGCCAATGTGTAGGCTGTGGGAAGGGCTGCATCAAGAAGACTAGGGAAGAGCCAGGGATCTAACTCAGTGGTTCCACTGCCTGTCTTGCAAGCTCAAAGATCTGAGATTGATCCCTGGTACCCCCCCACACACACAAAAGACTAGGGAAGGAGCAGATTCCTTCTAAATCAATGACCCAACCCAAAATAATTCCCTTTTCCAACCTACATTTCCTCAGTGCAAACACTGGGTAACAGCTGATCTTGGCCACTGTTCATACACAACCTGCCAGTGACACCTCTGGCTCCTCAATCTCCAAGGCAAAAGTCATCAAAATCAAAACTGCCTATAAATAGACTCTCTTGACGACAAGATCCTCAACCACAAACTGGAGAAGAGGACTAAGCCTGCAAGGATGTCAAAGGGCTTCTTCTACTGTCCAGAGGAAGGACGTCAATTGTTTCTAGTTCACTGCTGAACGTGGAGATCAGATACGTCAGAGTTTTTTGGTTGTTTTGTTTTGTTTTTGAGACAGGGTCTCACTTTATAGTTCAGGCTGGCCCTGAACTCATTATGTAGCTCAGGCTGGCCTCGAACTCATGGCAATCCTCCTGCCTCTGCCTCCTGGGTGCTGGGATTACAGGCATGAGCCTCCACACCTGGCTACAGATCAGTTTAAATATGGCGCCAGGGATTTAGCTCAGTGGTTCTGCCACCTGCCTCGCAAGCGCAAGGTCCAGAGTTTGAACCCTGATACCAAAATAATAATAATGAATAAAACAGATCAGTTTAAATACTATTTATGTAACTTATTGGCTGTATTAGCTCTACATAAAGTCATGAACACCATCTATTCCAAGCAGCCTGCTTAAGAATTAAATGCAACAGAGCATGGCAAGGTCAATGCCTAAAAAACAGCAAAATACCCAATAAAGATTCAGTTTGCTTCATTTTCCCCACCACTGAGGGGGTTCTTCAAACAGTGTGACAGCACCACTATTTTCTTTGCATAATGTACTTTCAACTATGAGCCTTAGGTCCTTAGCACAATGGTAATGTCACTTAATTCGCCTGGCATTTGAAGAAATCAAATGAGGAAAGCGTGAAGCCTCGACCACAGCTCCTGGCACATAACTACTCAATATCCATTGCCTCTTATTGTTGGTGAGTGGGCAACAAGGGGGCACACCTATAAACCGAGCTCGGGTCTTGGCTGGTGGGGAGGCAGTGGCTTACTGAACCGCACGTGTCTATCCTCTGGAGACCACTCACCTGGTGGTTCCAAATAGAACCCTCTTTGCTGCGCTCATCAGGGGTCAGACGCACGTACTGGCTCGTGAGCATAGTACTGCCTTGGAAGTCCCAGAGAGGCATGGAGCTGGAACCAACCCCTGTGGGCAGAAAGACGGGCACAGACAGGTGCTTAAGAGGTCATTCCAGGACAGGCCTTGCCAGAGGCAGGAAACTCGGAGATGCTCTGCTCAAGGAAAAAGGGCATGCCCCTCTCCAACCCAATCCAACCTCACCCTCAACCTTCCCTCCTGCCCGCCCCAGACCTCACCTTGGTAGGGTTTAATGAGCGAATGCTCCCGCTTGAGGTGTTCACTGTTGCCGTCAGTTATATCCGCAGCCACCGACCCCAACAACAGAAGAATATGTACAAGTGTAGCGGGGCCGGGGCCGGGACCAGGAAGCCTAGGCCTCCCTAGGCACCGCCGGCCCCAGCCCCAGCGCCAAAACCAACCCTCTGCCGCCATTCTCCTCTTCTTTCGGCCACTTCCGCCCTAGGATTTCCGCCTTCCGGGTGTCCTATCTAATGGCCTCCGGCCGGAAGCCCTCCAACTTCAGCGTCACGGAGGAGTTAAAAAGCAAAGCCTTGCTAATGAGGAGGCATCGCCTTTATTGGCTGACGAAGTACTGTTCCATCACCTTGGTAGCGCCTAGGAACCGGCCAGCCGGCCTCGGCGATGGGATTTTAGAAACGACAAGAGTTGCAGCCAATCACGAAACAGCACGTTAGGCTGAGAAACAGGAATAGTTTGAGGCGGGCAGCGCGAGCGTCGGCTTTTAAGTAGGCGTGCTGGAACTTGTAGTTTTTATGGGCTGCTTGAGCGGGCGGGACTCATAGGAACTACTAGGCTCAAAGCCATACTAAACTCAAGGCCGTTATGGCCCGAGGCCCTTGATCGCGTCTCTTTTTCCCCAGTTAGGTGGGAAACGAAACTTTAAAAAAGTTTTTTTTTGTTTGTTTGTTAGGAAGCTTTAAACAGAATGCCTGGAGTCCTACCCCCGAAACGACTTTGAACTCACTGGGTAGCCCGGGGCGAGCCTTTAAACTGTCCCTAACTTTATCCGCACCAGCCAGCTCCGTGCCTGTTGGAGGCTAAATTCTCAGTTATTTAGGAGCCTCCAACAACCCCCAATTCTGGAGGTCCAGTTCAGGTTGAAACCGGAGGAGCAGGCACGAATCCTGCCTTGGGACCCCAGCGATGGTTGGAACCCATCTAGATACAAATGGTAACAGTGCCCAGTGCAGCAAAACGAATCAATGCAAAAGTCCAGGAAGGCTGGCTGTGATTATGAGGTCAAAAATTAGTGGCCCACAGCCAGAGAACTGTTTTACCTTCTAATGCTATTTTAATGAATGATTTAAGTACCAACATTTTGTAAGCCATGGTACTTGAAATGCACATCAAAAATCCAGGTTTCCATAAAGAAGATGTGGTTTTTTAATAAAATGGAATACTACTTAGCCATAAAGAATGAGAAAGTAGCTTCATTCATAGGTAAATGGGTACATTTTGAGGATATACTCCTAAGTGAAATAAATAAGTCACATATATGCAAATACCGAACAGTTTCTCTGGTGTGAAAAACTAATATAGTACTCAAGATCCTAAAGGGGCAATTAGCAATGTGAAATAGCAAGAAAAGGACCAAAGGTGTAGGGACAGTGAGAAGGCTAGGGAAAGGGGAATAAGGGAAAAGGAAAAAAATATGAGAAAATGTAAAAATGGAATTAAAGTGTTTGAAGGTGGGGAGGAGAGGAGGGGGTGAAGGGAGGGTGGGGACAAGGGGACAACATGAGAACCAAGACCTGGGATGTAAAGGTACAAGATCCCAGTAATGAATGTAACTGTACTGTTTACCTAGAATGTACCAATAAATTAAATTTAAAAAAAGAGGACGAGGTACTAGAGCTGAATGGGACTATACTTCTACAACTGATTTCCTCCTCTAACCTAGCCACTACCTGGCCACTAATTTACTTGGCAGTTGCTGAATTAATGACACCTGATATAGATCTCTCAAGGTATGATGTTGGTTGATTGCCCCTTTATTTTAAGGTGCTGTCCTCTTGAATGAACTTATTCATAATTGAGTACTAAGACATCTTTTCTGGGCCATATATTTTAATTACTATTTTATCATTAATACATTCTTGTAGTATGTTTGGGCATACAGTCCATGCCTTGATATCCTCATGGGAATTGGTTCTAAGACTGCCCCTCCGTACCAAAATCAAAGGATGCTCAATCCCTTTCAGAAAAGGGCACAGTATTTGCATATAACCTGTGCATGCTCTCTCTTATACTTTAATCATCTTTAGATCACTCATACTTAATACATTGTAAATGATTAAATAGTTGTTACACAAATATTGACAGGGAAAATGTCTGTTCATATTCAGTAAAAATGAAAGTTTTTCCAAGTATCTTCCCCTGTTGAATCTGTGGATGTGGCTCTCTGGAGAGGGAGGGAGGGAGAGAAAGAGGGAGAGGGAGAACACAGAGAGCAGATATCTATACAACTAAAGTCCTCTGCCTTTCCCTTCCCAAGGAGTACACCATTCTAGAGATTTACCTATACCTGTCCAAACAAGGACATGTACATTACCCTGGACTAGGGCTGGGATTTTTTTGTTGCTGTTATTGAGTTTATTGGTACTTTTTAAGTATACAGTACAGTTACATTCATCATTAGGATCTTGTACCTTTACATGACAGATCTTGGGTCTCATTTTTTCCCCATACCCCTGCCCTCCATTCACCCCCTGGGGCTGGGATTTTTATCAGCTTCAGTCACTATTGAATCCCTGGTATCTAGAATAGTACACACAAGGAGTAAGTAGTTAATTGGTGAGATAATATTTGTTCTAAAACAAATTGAAATTGAGTCATTAAGAACGAGTACAATTTCCAGGAAGGAGAAAGGCATTCTCAGCAAGGGGAAAAAGAGCTGCAAAGGTAGAGAAGATGCCTAAAAGTATAAGGAACATAACAGTTTGCAACACATAAGTATGGTGTGAGAGGGAGATGATTGGCTGAGGCCAAAACTCAAAGAGTCTTCAATGTCCAGCTAAGCAGCATGGTATTTTTGCAGAATTCATTGGGATGACATTAAGAATTTCAGTAGTCTGGCTAGAGTGAGAAGAGACTGGAGGGGAGTCTGGTAGGAAGACTGAATTCATTATGACCAGATAAAAGAGGACAAAGCCTAAACTAAGGAGGCCTCCACACAGGAAGAGCATCAGAAGTCTCAGCCAGATTAGACATCAGTAACTATTCTGTAGCAAGCCAGTGAGACAGTTCAGAACACTGTTGTATGGGGTAGAAATATTCCACTACTCTCATGGAATGGAAAAAGCTAGATGAGGAGTCCCAGGATTAGCTGGAGTCTCTGTGGCAGCAATGTGGTTAGAGCTGAAATTGGTAACCCTGGTGGAGAATTGAAAGAGGCATCTCTGCAGTAGCAAGAGAGGACAGATTTAGGAGGGGATCCCTGTGACTAGGCCTTTGAGGGGACGAAGATGAGAAGATGTTGGCCACTGGCCTGGTGGGGGCTCAGGCTCAGGTCCCAGCACCCGGAGCACACTCGCAGCTTCACAGATCTCTAACATGATGATGATGATGTGTAGCCTCGGACAACTCACTTCTCTCTGAGCCTCAGTTTCCTGATCTGTAAAACATGAATGAGGGGCCAGGGATTTGGCTCAGTGGTTTTGCTGCCTGCCTTAAAAGCTCAGGGGCCCAAGTTTGATCCCCGGTACCCAAAACAAAAACAAAAACAAACATGAATGATGAGCACCACTCACAAAATGGTTTTGAGGATCAAATAGTCTTGTCAGGAGAAGAACCTGGGAACTGTAAACATCCTTGAAATCCTAGGCCTGGATCCATGGCATAGGAGACTGTCAGTCTCTACTCATGTCACATACTCTACAACCCTCTCGTAGGCACTTTAAAAATACTGCTATTGGCAGTGCTCCAAGCCCAAAGGTAACACCATCCCCAACCCTTAACAAACACCAAGTCTGACTGAATCCTTCAGTCTGTGTGGCCAGTACCAAGTGTTTAGAAAGAGGTGAAAAGAGGTATATTAATTAGGGTCACAAAAGCTACTATAATAAGTAAGTCTTGTCCATGGTGGTGTATGCCTGTAGTCCCAGCACTGGGAGGCTGAGACAGGAGGATTGCTGTGAGTTTGAGGCTAGCTTGGACTATATAGTGATTTCAAGGCCAGTCTGAACTACCTAATGAGACCCTGTCTCAAAAAGTAAAATTAATTAATTAAATATAAAACAAGTAAGTCCTAAGGTGTACAACAGCTCAAAGAATTTATTTCCAGAGAGCTCTCCTAACTGTCCAAAGCTGGTGTTCCAGGCTGGGGACATGCCCCCCTATACTATTGCACAGACTTAAGTCCTTCCATTTTATGACTCTGCAATCCCACAGGGCCTCATTATGATCTATGTCCAGCCAGCTGAAGCAGGGAGTTCGTGGCACACACCTAGTTCTTCAAAGCCTTGGCTCAGAAATGACACATCTTCTCCCTTCACATTCAGTTGATGGGAACCAGTCACATGGCCACACCTGAATGCAAGGGAGCCTGAGAAGTTTAGCCACGTGCCTAGGAGGAAGAGGACATGAATTGGTGGTGAGGACTTACCATTAAAAAGTTCAGGTCACAGCCTTAGAAGAGGGTATCAGGGCTACAAATAGATTATGGAGAAGTAGGTGTTGCCTTGACTGTATAAATGGAGTAACCCAAACCAGAGTGGTGGGTGACTTGATGTCGCTAAGTAACCCTAGGTTTAGAGTAAAATATAAATATCCTTGTAATGGGACATGCAAGTGTAAGAAGGAGGCAACCTGAGGACTCTGGTTAAAGGATCTGAGATTATCTGAGGCTAGATTAGGTGTGAGAGTAGGGAGCCATCCTTCAGCTCGCAGTACTCACTATGCTACAATTTGTATCTCCCTAAAATTAATATATTTTGACACAATAACCACAATATGATGGTATTTGTAGATATTTATTAGATTAAGTCTTGGGGAGGTAATTAGGTCATGAGTAGAGGTAACTTATGATAGGATTCATGCCCCTAAAATAAGAAATAGCACAGTGCCTGTCTCCTCTCTCTCTGCTCTCTGTAACATGAGGACATAGCAAAAAGACAGCCATCTGCAACCAGGAGGAGAGACTTTACCAGACACAGGATTAGCATATACCTTGATCCTGGACATCTTAGCCTTCAGAACTGTGAGAAATACATATTGTTAAGCCACTTTGATTATTCTATGGTGCTTTTCTTCTAGCACCCTGAGCTGCTATGCAAGATGGGGGTTTCTATGTGACTGAGAACAAAAGTACACATGCCATTGGTATAATTGTATCAGTTCACTCCCCTATTCAGGTAGAACGAGTGCATACCTGATTACACATGTCAGGGGGGTGTCTGAGTACACACACTCATGTACAGGTACGCCTGTCACATGTGCCTGTCACAGAGACTGTACACGCAGAGTAGCTGCCCCTCACAGGGAAGAGCATTTGTGTTTACGACATGCACACCTGAGTCCACCTGTATAAATACCTGGGCACATGCACATTGGAAAGTCTATAGGCATCTGGGATTAGGGGTAGTAACTCTGCATATGCCCAACTGCCTAGGGCCAGAGTGCTGAGCATGCACAGACCTAGAACGCAGT